AAATCTAGCAGACTGCTATTATACAGCTAGATTTCGGTACGCTTTGGCTCCGTCGGTGTGACAGACGGATCCTACACCAAGAATCGATTCATCAGCATCTAAAAGCAAACTTCTCGCATCTCCTGCAAGGAAATTGGCCCTCCACCGCCCTGTCCAGCAGAAGAAATGCGGTAAGGCAATGGCTCAATCCACACCAAGGCAGACCCACGTCGAACCACTGCCAAGTAACGAAGCCAAACGATGCCGTGAGCACGTCCCACAGAGCGGAAGCTGATCTCATCCAGTTCGACATCCTGTCCCAAACCTCCAACAGTAAGAGATCCATTCAGTCTGTCAATCAGAGGAACGTAGAATTCAGCAAACTTTTGGAAGAGCAAACGGATGACACGATGGCCAACTTCCAGCAATAGGCTGGATTTGTCAGGTGACAAGTGTAGATTGGAGCAAAAAATCCAAAGAATTCCAGTCATTGCTCGGATGGACAGCTTTGCATCAAAGAAGTCCTGATCTCTTGCAAAGACGCTCATTGTCTTTCGGCATCCACGACAGCGCCAAAGAACCTTCTTTTCAGTCTCTTCAAGTCTCCAGACTGACTTTTCCAGGTTGCGGCATTTGCATCCACCTGCTTCTGGAGCTTTCTTCCGCTCTTGCACCTGGAGTTCTGCGCTTGGTTCGGCGGAGAAGAGCTTGGCCTGCTCGCATTCGGCGATCCCGCCCGGCAGGACCCATGTTGATGCGTCCTCCAGACCATCTTGCCACTAAAGCGGAAGAAGCTGTTCTCGCCATGCTTCTGGGAAACCTCTAAAAACTTCGAAACTTGAGCAAACGCTTCCCAACAAGCAATTCTCTGGACGACGATGCATATCCACGATTACCACCCGAGAGGCTACGTCCTATAAGACGATGCTCTGGAAATGGATGTCTTTAGTCGGAAGAAGTGCGTCTTCCCAAGGTCGACCACCCGAGAGGCTCGTCCTATAAGACGATGCTCCGGAAGTGGATGTCTTTAGCTGGAAGAAGTGCGTCTTCCCGAGGTCGACCACCCGAGAGGTCGCGCCCGCCATGCAAGATATCTGGCTTCGCACGCTCCTGTGCCAAGTGTTCTCTGGGAAGCCGTTGAGAAATCTTCTCATGGCTCGGTTCGCCTGGGCGGAGCTTCAAGCTAACAAGCCCGGAAAAACCCGCAGAAAATGTGCGGATTTATCAGGAACAGATCTAAAGAGAAAAACTGCAATATGGATCAAGATAAACAAGCATTCCAGCAATTCGAGGATGATTCTCTTCTGAGTTGCTCGACAATGACTTTTCCGGGTTCTTGCGTGCTGGCTCGCACCTCAAAAATGGTGCTATGAGGATTCGATGGCTGCCATAGAAAAACATTCGCGGTTCAAGAAGCTCGACTACAGGATCACTCAGGCGGGTCAGAGCTGAGGAGGGCCACTTTTCTTGGAGAAAATGCGCTCTGTTCTTCTCCTTTCTGGACTTTGAAGAATCTGTGCTTGGATTTGGCTCTATTTGTCACACGGGAGCCCAAAACTGCAGAACGCCCACCCGACGGAGTGCAGGCGCGATGCGTTTGTCTTATACTTGTCAAACACAAGCCTTCCACCCAGAACTGTTCAAGAGAATGCGGATGCGTGTTTGGGTCGGTGACCGGTTTCAAGAAAGGGTTGGAGGACCCATAAAGGTTGATAGCGCTGCCTTCCGCAACACGCCATAAGCAAGAAGGCCAAGCTTCTTTTTCTGTTGACATGTTGAGTTGCATCCAAGGCGGATCTTTTCAAGGGTGCCTGTGAGCACCAAGCGTATCTGATTCGAGTGGCGGACCTCTCTTGGTCACGCCGCAAGCTGTGCCAAGACAGCTACGATGCTGCGCTTTTTCCAGGTGGTTCTGTTGAATGGCGCCCTCGTCCCCTTAGACTGAGCTTTGGTTGCAATTGAGTCAGCCGCAGACGCCTTCGGCCAATGTGGAGGGTTGGCTGAAGTTTCCGAGTGGCATTATCTGGTCCCATTGTTTCGTTCTCCTCGCTTTTTGGAAGTGCTCAGGTGCCGGTCGCTTGGCTTTGAAATTGCCAGCTCTTAGTGACAACAGCGGGGCTGAAGCGGTGTGTAACAAGCTTTATACTTCCAAAGTCCCACTTAACATGTTTGTTCGCAAGCTTTGCATGTGGAGTGCGCTTTCTGGCATTTCGCTGGACTGTAGCCACATTTCCGGCGAGAAGAACGATGACGCAGATTTTCTTTCGAGATGGAATGGCGACGCAACCACTTTGCCTGCTCGCTTCAGAAGTGAGGACAGATTCCTAGTCGATCTGCCTGCTTTCTGGAACATCACATTTTCCGTCTCACTTTTTCCATCAAACGCTAAACTTTTGTGGAAGCTTCCAGCTTCCTACACACTTTGCCCAGCTTCTACGAAGTCAGCCAGAAAGCCTTAGCCTTAGCAGCACCTCTACTCGCTTTCCTTTCTGGGCATTACCGCGTTGCTGCGTTTCGGCTTGCCAGTTTTCAGCCCGGACTTTTCGTGACTGCAGCAGCTTTGGCTTCGTGGCGGCTCCGCTTTGGCCGAAGGCCTGCAAGCCGCAGATAGCAGTCACTTCCCGGCAAGCCGAAACAAAAGGAGTGCAGTGCGAGTGCTGTGCACACGTCTTCTTCTTGTTGCTTACACGCTTTCATACTTCCGCTTTGTTGTAGCTGCTCGTACAGTTTAGCCCTTGTGTTAGTTGCGTGGTGTAGGACTTACCATGAACGGTCACTGTGTTTACTCAGGAGGGTTTTGGTGAAGTCCTGTCCCGTCGCCCTATTGCAGCTCGAGCGGGACACCACAGCAACAACGCAGCTTTGCATAGCTT